TCATTCGTTATAGTTTCATCGATTTTTCAGATCTATTCAGCGCCACCCCCATTCTTGGTTCGTCCTTGTTGCTGCCCTTGTTGCCTCCAGTTTTGCTTTCCTTCCGGCGAGAACGAAGATAAGGGAAGGGAGTTGGGTTGGGGTTGATCGGTAAAGGCAGTGGGGGAGTTGGGTTGGGTTTGATCGGTAAATATGGTCCTCGGTGGTGTTGGGGTATGTTGTGATATGTCAGAGATGGTTGAATTGAGATCGAGGGTGGGAGTCGTGTTGGTTCCTTCTCCTGATATCACAGTACAAAAGAGAAAGGTGGTCGTTAGTCGACGTCCGGGAGGGATTCCCAGGACGAAGCTCCGACGATCAGGTTAGAATGGATTCTGAGAGAAGAAAGGATAAATCTGAGGAAAAAAGAGTTTCATCCCCTTCTTCATGAGGAAGAAGGGTCCTTTTATACCTGACTGGGAGGCGCGTGCCTACTAACTGATTCTGTTGAGCCTTCCCTCGTGAGACGTGACGTGGCGGATCCATATTGAAGGATCTCCCGTCACGCCTTTTCCCTCGTCGCCTTATTGGCTAGAGGAGAATCTTAGATATTATGATGATCGTGGCTGTCTTCAGATGGGCAAGTGGAACTCTCTGATTGGTCTCACGTTTGTCGGGGTGTTATTTCTAGGAGAATAGGGCAAGGCGCAGTTCTGCCCCTTAACCGCCATACCAGTGACTCCGCGAGCCTTCGCCTCAGACTAGATACGACCATGTTCTAACCAGGCCAAGATTGGTGTTAGTTTGACTTCTCCTTTTTTGACGTTTTCCCTTAGGGATTCGTTAACAAGTCCCTTAGGCTTGTAGGAGTACGCGTTAGCTTGGTAGCGTCGTCGTTCGAGCCTATACTACAACACGTTTATGTCTGAGATTATTTCTAGCATTTAACAGACTTTAGACAGTGCCGTCAATATGTGTTAGATCCATCGCGAGACGGTTCGTGACACTAGTTTTGACTTTAAAATCCCCCCTTTACCCAAGACCTTTCATCTTTACCTCATTTCCTTGCTTTCGTTGTATCGACTCAGGAATTTTACGATTTTTTCTTTTCCAATCATTCGTTCGTTCTTGACAATGGGTCATTATGGCAGAGTCCCTACCATAGAGGAATTCCAACTTCTGCAAGATCGATTCGGTTTCTTACCGGAGCATGGTGTGATGATTTCGGTGAAGGGGTCATCAATCTATAACTGCCCTCGAGGGAAAGTGGGGGTTCATGTTCCTCTATTCGAAGTGGGGTTACGCCTTCCGACATCTGACTTTTTGATCATGCATCACTACGACTTTTCCGTTGACGAATTAACCCCAAGTGCTGTCAATAAGATCGTAGGTTTTAAACTGATCTGTCAATCTTTGGGTTGTATACCCACTTTTTGGGTTTTCAGTTACTTCTTATGTTCATCTACGAACTCCGGCGTCCGCACGCCAGCGAAAAGGCGGGGCATTCGTCAGTTGATCTCTGAACAAGATAATCCGAAGAAAAATTGGCAGAGGCAATGGCTCTGGGTCAACCGAAACCTTGTGGGGCATGGGTTTCATAAAACACAAGACTTTCCCGACCGTCTTCCCAAGCTGTTCGGGGATAACCTAACTCTTGGAAAACGGCTGTGAAACATTACTATCATTGGGGAGAACTGGGAAGATTTCATTCTTGTCGCGGCCGATATGAGTGCCACTTGGAAGGTACGTAAGAAGATGGCACAGTTATTCGTTGTGAGATGCAGTATTCACTCATCTCCTCCCCCCCTTTTTAAAATATAAGAACATGGTATCTTATTGGCTTGCGAGTTCTCATACTTGGTGTTTGTGTTCGCAGGTACTGAAGCCGAGATTTCCTTGGAGATGGCCCTGCTTGGTCATTATCGGGGTAAGCTTTGCCACCAGGAGGTTGATCTTGTGGAGGCTCTTCCCTCTCCCGTATCTTAAAAACGTATGCGGGAACTAGTTGGATTGCTCTCAGCAGGAGGGGGAAATGTTGGTTCTAGCGGACCTGCCTCGCCTTCCCAGCGGTTTTTGGGGTCGTTTCCCCAATCGTTTTTTTGGCTTCTGCTTCTTCCGATTTTCCTGTGGGGGTGCAAGCATGAAAAGGTACTACCCCTATTCGGAAAAAATGAAGTTTACGCGTGGTGCTATCGTCAGACGAAGAGACTGAATCCGATTACGCGGGCCTTCATCCTCGTAAGATGCGCAACACGGTGTCTGTGCCCAAGCTTCTTTGTGGTATTGAGGATGTTCTTGGCGATAAATTTGTTATGCTTGGGCAGAAAGATATAGTGGTGGTGCCTAATTCTTTAAAGGCATCTCATTCACCGTTTACTGGCTCGCTCTCGGTTGATCCTGGTTCCAGCTCCGTGCTTGGGGGTGCACTGGGCGTGTGAGGAGATTCTTCCCCATCGAATAAGCCTTCCATGGTTGACGAAATGAGAAACGCGTCTCACCCTTTGGCTTTCAAGGCTTATGCTCCAGGTTGGGCGGTTACTAAGGATTCCTTACTGTCGGAAGACATCGCCGCCCAGGAATGAAGTTGCTTGACGAAATGAGAACTGCTTCCTCCTTTTAGGTTTCCTAGAAAAAAAAACGAAGTGGTCGTTTTTTTTTGGGGGGGGGGGGGGGAGAGAGAGAGAGAAGAGAGAGAGAGAGAGAGAGAGAAAGAAAGAGATATATATATAGAAAGTGTGTGTGTGTGTGTTTTGTCTTTTCTTATAAATTCTTTTTTATTTTTTTTAATCAGTCAAATATTTAAATAAATAAATAAAATTGAAAAAGTAAAAGGTAAGGGTAAAATCGTCATTATAAAAAAGTTCAAAGCAAATTGGATCAAAATTGCAACAAAATGAAAAGTTTGGACCTCCGGTGCTAGTCCAAACTTTTTTGGACCAAAGTGTCAATTTTCAGCTAATCACAAGGAACCATGTGTGCAGTTTTGTCTAAAAATACTTTTTAAAAAATAAGGTGTTTTAGATACCAAACTTTATTTTAAAAGATTAAAAGTTTTTTTTAAAAAATTGTTGAACATAATATGATGCAAATAAATATGATTCAAAATATTTATGATTTAAAAGTATTATGATTCAATATGTTTATGATCATTAACTTGTTATGATCTAAAAATATTTTGATTCAAATATTTAATGACCCTTAATTATTATATTTTTTATTATTCAAAATTAAATGATTCAAAAAATATAATGATCCAAATGTTGTATTGAACAAAATCTTTCTTTAATTCAATACATTATGATTCAAATTAATATGGTTAAAAAATATATGATGCATAATATCGTTATGATTCAAAATACTATTATTCAAAATTTTATGATCCAAAAATAAGTTCAAAAAATAGTATGAATGGAAAATATCATAATCTTTAATATTATTCTTATTTAAAAATTTATAATTGTTAAACATTAAAAACTTAAACCGATATTTAGTTTTAGAAAAAAATAAAAAAGAAAATCAAAACAGAAAAATAATAATAATAATAATAATAAAACAAAAAAAATAACTTTTCAAATAAATGAAAAAATAAAAAATATGAAAACATTAAAACCGAGCATATATCTATTTAAAAAAAATGAATTTTTTTAACGAAAAATAATAAAACAATAAAAAAACCAAAATAAATAAAAAAGAAAAAGAAAAACACATTTAAATGACGTTTCATGGACGTTCGTCGTACATGATTATTCCCTCGAATCTGTATTACGTTCCATGCACGTGTGCCGCGTACGAACACATCACGACCAAGTAAATGGGTTTGCCGTTTATGCCATTGACGAAATGATTGGTAGAAAATAGTTATCACAGTTCCTATCAATTTTTGAGTTTCTACTGGATCCGGACCCTAGAGAGAGAGAGAGAGAGAGAGAGAGAGAGGTGTTAAACATAAAGAAACTTATACTCGGTGGTTTAACCAATGAACAGAGTAAAAGAAAAGGATATAGGGCGTGTTCGGCACGGAGCGTTTAGGAGCGTTTGAGAGCTTCTAGCTTCTAGCGTTTGACAAAACGCTCCGTTTTGAACAGAAAGTCTTGTATGACACTACAAGCTTTTAACGTTTTGTTTAAACAAAACGTTCCAAATCGAAAAGCTACTCCATGTAACGTTTAACAAACGCTACAAGCTACAAGCTACCCGCTATCCGTTACAAGTTACACGCTACCAGCTAGTTTTGCCGAACACGCCCATAAACGTTGATGGGATAAAAAAAAAAGGAAAGTATAATCTAATTAGGAGAAAGTATTAAAATACTATCTTTTATTTAAATAAAGGGCAAAATTGTGGATTCACTATAAAATTATATGGATGCATTAAAAAAAACTGTGAAAAAATCAGCACCCTATGCAAACAAATTTCAAGATCGTTTGCAATAACCTAAATAACTATCCTATTAGAATATTAATACGTAACTGTACCAAAATGTTGTACTTAAAATAAAAAATAATAAGAGAGGAACAAGAGGATAAAAGGGAATTTGTCATCCAACCAATAAAAAACATAGCAATGGCGGTAGCGAAGCTGCTTCTCCCGTCGTCTCTCAATCTCCCATCCAAATTGAAAATCACCAGAGTATCTCCCTCTCTTCATAATCAACCATGGAGTTTAAAGAAGAAGAAGCGACGGCATCCACCTGGGGATTTCCTCCTCGCTTCACGAGACTGCAACAATCGCCGTTCAAACCCCTCTGTTTGTGCTTGCAGACGCCGCCGTCGGCTATTCCAGTGCCAGCTATTACACCTCCTTGGGTCTATTCGTCATCTCCGTTCCAGGTCTTTGGTCCCTTATCAAACGCTCTGTTAAATCCAAGGTTCTCAATCGATTCACCTAAGCTTGCTGATTACCGATTACTCATCTGAAACAAACGATTGATTCCTAACAATGATTCATTCAGGTTGTGCAAAAGACATTCGTAGAGGAACTAAAGGAAGGAAAAAAGAAGGAACCTAACCAGATCGCCGGAGAAATTCTCTCCTTCTTCACTCGCAACAACTTCTCAGTGCTAGATAAAGGAGAGACAATCACGTAAGCCCATCACCAGACACCAGAATATAAATTCCTTCGATTTTTTGGTGGTTTGCCCTTTGTTAGATCTTCAATTTGATGGAATTCTCAACAGGTTCGAAGGCACGATGGTTCCGAGCAGAGGGCAAGCGGCGCTGCTTACGTTTTGCACCTGTATCAGCCTCGGAAGTGTGGCTCTCGTGCTTACCATCACCGTTCCAGACGTCGGCAACAATTGGTTCGGCCTCATCGTTTTCAGCCCATTGGCGTAAGTCTCTATTTCCCCACTTCATAGCTATCTTTCTTTTCTTTTCGTGTACAGAAGAACTGAAACGGGGAATTGGAACAGTGGAGCGTATTACTGGAAGCGAGCATCGAGAAAGGAGCAGATTAAGGTGAAGATGATGGTGGCGGAAGACGGGACGCTGTCGGAGATTGTGGTTCAAGGGGACGATCAGCAAGTTGAGCAGATGAGGAAGGAGTTGCAGTTGAGTGAGAAAGGCATGGTTTACGTTAAAGGCATCTTTGAGAGATGATGAGATTCCGTATTTTTGCTATCTTTTTTATTCAAACTAAAACTGTAAAACATTACTTCTAAACACCGGCTTAATACACAAGAGTATTATTTTTTTATTTTCTTTTTGTTATAGTGTTTTATTGCAATATTATATTTAATTTTTTTTTCTTATTGTACTATACCACTATAGAAAATTCATAGAGTTGCAGGGTGATTGTTTTAACATTTCGTTTTTGTGTTTTATTATTATTATTATTATTTTGAATACATAAATTGAAAGAAATAAAATGATGAAATTAGTGATTTTACGGATTCGTATTAACAAAAGTAACTGTTATCAACAAAACATTTAAAAAATGACTAAGAAATTTTGAAATTTGCAAATGACCACTTTGTCATGATACCACGTTGCGGATTATTAATATTTATTTCGGATTAACAGTGAGATTGGTTAGATGTTGATATAAAGGCGTTTCAGAATCTGAAATTTCAGGAATAATGTACGTTACAAATTGACTTCATACATTCCGGACTAAGACAACTCACATTCTAAAATCTAATATATTCAAAATTGAATTTCAAACTTCAACTAAGTTATTATGTTCTTTACAATTTACATTTTATTTAGAACTTATTTTTCCTCTAATCTTTCACTCCGGATTTTTATTACTAAAAATGAGTTTTTGCAGTCATTTTTTTAAAATCAATGTTTGTAATGGAGAACGGTATGTGTAACATCCCGAGATTCAAGTACTTCTAAATTCATCAATATGGTTTTATTATATGACATTTTAGTCCCTAAATCCATGAGAATGAGCCTTGAAGCCTTGTAGCAATTTGGTAATTTGAGCAGGAGTACGCTGAGCGTACATGAGGGTACATTGAGCGTACTAGGGCGCGCCCTAGTACGTTAAGCGTACTACGCGGGGTGTACTCTTTTCAGGAGAAAACCATAATTTTTAGGGTTTGGGTGGTATATAAGCATCATTATGGCTCATTTCTCCCCACCTTTTCAGCCTCCATACCCTTTGAGTCGTATTTTGCAAACGCTAGTCCCTTAAGAGTGTGTTTGAGCTAAAAAGTGTGTTCTTGGTGTGCTTAAGGAAGGAGTTGCATCAAGGAGCTTAGAAGTTGAAGCAAGCTTGTGGATCTTGGATCATTACCTTCTTGAGAAACTCCAGAAGGTAAAAAGTCTTCACATTGATGCTTTGTTTGTTTGAATCTCATTTTAGTAACTTTATGTGGTTCTTCTTGTCTCAAAAGTCCCATTTCATGCATGTTTGGTTTTAAGACGTTTTGAGCTATTCTTTTAGACCCTAGGAAGGGTTCTAAGCCATAAAAATGAGGTCCCTTTAGCTAGTTTGGCTCCATGCATCTTGTAGAAGGCCTTAATGGATTAAGACTGTGTGTTAAGGACTTTATAGACGTGTAGAGACATAAAGTTGGAAACTTTATGACCCTAGTATTCCTTTGGGCCTTGGATCTGAAGTGGGAGCCTAAGTGATGAAGCCATTAAGCGCTAAATGAAGAAATGGAGTTTTTGAGGGTACGCCCCGCATACCCAGTCAGCCACCCCGATGGTGGTTCTCTGCGAAGCTTCGTGTACGTTGAGCGTACCTCCGGATACGCCCCGCATACTTGCATGGGTCAGCCCATGTTGATTTAACTCGATTGGGTTGACTCGGCTGGTTTGACTCAGTGGGATTACTGACTTTGACCAGTTAACTTTGACTTTGACCAAGTTTGACCATGTTTGATTAAGTTTGACTTTGAGGGTATTTTGGGTATTTTGGGATTTTATTGGAATTGGTCACTTGGTGGATGTAGACATTGAGTAGAGAGCTGAGATTCGGAGTCAAGCCTTATCAGTTCTATTCAGCTTGTGAGGTGAGTTTTTCTCACTGTACTTTCGAGTTGAAGGCACTAAGGCTGGCCCATTGGTTTGATAACCTGATATTTGTTGATATGTTAAGTATTGAATAGATATGCATGCTAGATTTGATATGCTAGTCTGGTAGATCTATAAGACTACCTGTGATACTGGTTGTTTATTTGTATATGATATTATTATTGGGTTTTATGTACTCTAACATTCCTATGGTACACATACAACCCTAATGCTTTGGATCTAAGTTTTCTCTAATTATACATGCAATAAACATTTTCCAAAGCATGAAGCCTAAACTAGCATGCAAGGTGATATTTGAATCATAAAAACTAGTTAGAATATTACCTTGTGTAGTAGCTTGAATAACTTGGCCTCAAGAAAGCTTACTACCCCAAGTGTGATGCCTCAAATGGAATCACAAAACACCAAGAACAATTAGGATGAATATAGAGAGGTTATGGAGACTAGAAATCAAATTCTACTTCTTGGAATGCAAGGGTGTAACCGATTTTAGCTTATAAATACATACATACATACATACATATATATATATATATATAATATATATATATATATATATATACATACATACATACATACATATATATATATATATATATATATATATATATACATACATACATACATACATATATATATATATATATATATATATATATGTGTGTGTGTGTGTGTAGAATATCAAGGGTCATGTGTAACCCTAATTCATACCCATAAGCTTATGATCCACCCATTTGATTTGGATAAATACTTCATGGATTAACTCATAAGCCCATTACAAATCAAATCATGGATCATTAGCCCAACTCATATGTATCAATTTAATTAGTCTCTTTTGATCATTAAATTAATCCTTAAATTAATTCTTGATCAATATTAACTAAATAATATGATTCCTCAATTAATATATTATAATTATAATATATTAATAAATCATAAATAACCTCTTACTCAAATATCCTTCCTAACATATTGCTTTGATGAATGCAACCCAAATGAACCATGCTACGATCGGGTCAAGTACATACCAATTATAGTTATGGGCTTAGACACCTTTTCCAACAGTCTCCCACTTGGATAAGTCTAATAACTATAATTGCCAATGTAACTTAAAATCCAATTAGCAATCGTAGCTCTCAAAAAGCCATTGTCGAACTCTGACGCGTCCATTAGATAAGTGATCATATAATCCTCTGTTCTACAAGATATTGTGTGGACAAAGACATATATATATATATATATATATATATATATATATATATATATATATAGAGTCTACTCATTGTCCAACATTTTGTTTCCCGATTTCTGATTTGTTTGACATAGAACTTAATTGAACACATCAATAGAGTTCTGACCGGGCCCGACACATAAGTCAAAACAAAACCATCGAGGGGCCCAAGATATCGCTTTTAATCCGCGTAGATAAAAGGAACAAATAAACTTCGACTTATATGCTTGTGCTAACTATTCATTGAATCATATATAATAGCATGTTTTATAACATCGAGTTACTGATGCGTTTTCGCACTATTAATGTACAATCAACAAATAATCGCCAACTCATATATCTTGGTTTGAAGATTATACAATATTATCGTCTCACAATCACCCGTGATAAATTCCATGAAGTGATATCTGAGCGTGGGTTTAGTCCAATACTTAAATCTTATTTCAAGAGCACTCATGAATGTTTGTAGCAATATTTTGCTATGTCTAACACCTTAGACAATCATACAAAAACCCATTCATGACAGTCTTCTTTCATAACCTACTTCCAAAGTATGATCGATTGTGGATAGTTTGAATAATCTTATTATTCTGGAAGTCAAAACATGCAAAATGAAACAATAGTAAATAATTGACACAAGACAGTAACTTTACTTATAAATAAAAACACCTTTTATTCAATCATCAAATGTCAATTACATTTTAACTATTACAAGTTTCTAAATGTCTATCTAATCACTAAAACTAATATCGTCCTTCAGCCCGACACTACTAGGGTGCCACAAGTGCTTAACCCTACTCAGTCCCTTCGTAAGGGGATCTGCTGGATTTTCTTCTGACGATACCCTCTTAACCACGAGGAGTTCCTCTTCTACTTGATGTCTTATGAAGTGATATTTTCTGTTGATGTGTCTTGATCTGCTATGATCTTTTGGTTCCTTGGATAAGGCAACTGCACTATCGCTATCACATAAAATCTCCATGGGCTCCTTTATAGCTGGTACAACTCCAAGGTCTCCGATGAAGTTTTTCAGCCATATTGCCTCCTTCGATGCTTCACTCGCTGCTATATACTCTGATACGCACGTTCAATCAACTACAGTCTCTTGTTTGGAACTTTTCCAAGTTATTGTTCCTCCATTTAGGGTAAATATCCAGCCCGACTGAGAGCGGAAATTATCTCTGTCGGTCTGAAAGCTGGCATCACTATACCCAACCACTCTTAAGTCATCACTCCCACCAAGGGTGAGGATCCAGTCCTTAGTCCTTCGGAGGTACTTAAGAATGTTCTTTACCGCAGTCCAGTGAGCTTTACCAGGATTCCCTTGATATCTGCTAACCATGCTCAATGCAAAGGCTACATCAGGACGAGTATATGTCATAGCATACATTATCGAACCAACTGCAGAAGCATATGGTATTCGACTCATTTCTGCTATTTCATCATCGGTACTCGGACTTTGACTCTTACTCAGTCTGGCATTGCTTTGGATAGGTAATTCTCCTCTCTTGGAATCTTGCATGTTGAAAAGTTTCAACACATTGTCCAAATAGGTACTTTGACTAAGTCTTATTAGTCTTTTACTCCTGTTTCTCAATATCCTTATCCCTAGAATATAAGTAGCTTCTCCGAGGTCCTTCATAGCGAAACACTCCCCAAGCCAGAACTTAACCTCCTGCAAGGTTGGGATGTCATTTCCTATGAGTAGTATGTCATCCACATATAACATGAGAAAGCTAACTATACTCCCACTAGCTTTGACATATACACATGACTCATCCTCGCTTCTTGAGAAACCAAACTCTTTGACTTTCTCATCGAAACAAAGATTCCATCTGCGAGATGCTTGTTTTAATCCATAAATGGATTTCTCAAGCTTACACACTCTATTTGGGTACTTTACATCGACAAAACCCTCTGGCTGATTCATGTAAACATCCTCAGCCAACTTCCCATTAAGGAAA